GTCCCAAACTGCTGCATGGCCCTTCTGTGGGAACGTCCTTCCCAGGGCCACGGGATGCCCCAGCCCATGATCACAAACGTTTAAAAAGCATGCTTTCACGCACACTCTTGGCTGCAAATGGCCGCGCTGTGGCCATTGGCCCCAGTGCAGCTCTACAGCTCACCAGCTGTCTCCTGAGGAGGGTGTCCAGCACGCAGCATGCACGCTGTGGTCAGCTACAGCACTGCATGGCCACAACCACAGCTCGCTGGGCACCAGCATCCACGGCTGGAGCCTCCCAAAACCCACCGGGGCTGCCCAAAGTGTGTGCAGGAGGTCGGGGCTGTGGGGTGGGGAAGGGCCTGAGCTGTGACGGTGGCTTTCACCCCAGCAGTGGGTAGGGCTGACCCCACTGGGAGCCTCTCTCCTCTCTGATCCACCCAGCAAGCTCCTTTTGCTTTTTTAGAGGTGTTTTCTTCTGCGGGGTTTAAGGCCCAAGAAGCAAACCTGCTGCTGGCTGTTGGTGCTGGACGTGTGAGCTAAAGCCGCCCATGGGGTGGAGAGTGGCAGCAGCGTGGCAGGGCAGGAGGGTGTCATGCCACCCCAACGTCCCCCCGAGCACCACAGCCTGGTCACAGCCTTGCGCTGCAGCGTGGGTCCTGGTCCCTGTGGGTGGCAGGGATGGGGACACCTGGGTCTGAGCCGATGGGGTTGGATGTCACTGCTGCGGAGGTGGGGTCCTGGAGCGGAGGGGCTGTGCACGGGCAGTCATGGCACAGAGCGGTTAAATCATCTGCCACAGCCACGGTAACAAATTCGCTTTCTGAAGAAAGAGAGGAAGTGAGAAATCCCTGGCCGTGCAGTGCGGTGTAACTCGTTGCTGGCCGGGGCAGGCAGCTGCCGCCTCCTTCCTGCTCAGACTGATTTAGTTTGTTTGCCTTCTCTGGAGCGAACAGTGATGAAACCTGGGGGGTGTTTGGCAAATCCCCCCTTGCTTACAAAAGCTGCTTCCCGGCACAAGGTTTCCGGCATCCCGTTCCTTCCAAACACGGCTCAGCTGCGTTCAGCACTTGAGCCCTTCACTGCTTTTGCTTAACCCCTGGCCACAGAGTGGGCATCTGCCACCTCGACACACTAGTGTAGGCAGTGTTAAACCAACATGGTTCCCGTACTTCCCTGCAAGCCCATCCACACGCAACCTACAGCTGCCCTGAACAATTTCTGTAGCTCCAGAGACAGCCTTTACCTCCCTGTCCTTAAAGCATCAGCTCCAGCGACACAAACTGCATCGACTCAGAGCAGACCCCCCAGGCAGCCACACCGCACGGCCACGCCAGACACTGCACTGCTGCTGCAGGTTTCCTATGGGACCACAGGCTCTTCCAAAGGGAATTGGGCAGATAAACAGCAGCTTTTGCTGCTATTATTTCTGTTATTAATGCTGCTTTTCCTGCTAGGTGAGGGATGCAAAGCCTTAGGGTGCTCCCTTGGTTTCAACAAGGCGTCCTTTGGTGCAGAGCCACGTGCCAGGGCAGCTCACCCGGGGGATGCCCACCACCTGCAGGAGCCACCCGAGAAGTGGATTTTTGTTTTCTGCTGGCAGCTTTGCAGCCAGCTGAGGGGTGGTGACCATCGCTCTTCAACAGAAGCTGCATCCTCAGACCGTGGACGTGAGGCCAAAGCCCAGGGGACCAAATGGGTGTAAATGCCCCCTCACCTGGGCAGGGAAGCGGGTGCTCGTCCTGGCCTCTTACCCAGAGGTCTCTGGGACCAAGTTGGGTTGAAAAAATGCAGAAACGGAGCTCAGCAGCCCCAGCTGTTGGTAGGTCTGTACGGGAGCCAACACACAAGCACATGCCACCCTGTGGCCCATGGGGACAGGCACAACCCCGTGGCAGGAGCACACAGAGGCACTAAGTGTTAAGAAATGTCTGAAAAAAACTGCCAGGAATTGGCCAGGAAGGACCCAGAGAGCAAAAAGGATCCCTTCAGGTATTTGACTCCCCTCTGTGAGGTTCCCAAGGACACCTGTGCAAGGTGGAGGCACCGGTGTGGGCAGCTGCCTCGGGGCAGGGATGTGCCCCCTCAGTGATGTGGCCCATGAGATCCCCGAGCCTGCGGGGAGCGCCCCAGGCACTTCTCACTTCCTCTGCCCCACCGGTACAGCAGCCGCCTCAAGGGTCTGGTAGCTACAACCTGCACGCCAGACTCCGGTGAGGAGTCCTGGCACAGCCAGCAGCCCTTCCTCCCCCATCCCCATCTGACCAACCACCACAGCCTCCTCCAGGTTGTCTGTCCATTCGTCTCTGCCCGTGCTCTTCTTTGCTTCTGGTACCAACAGCATCCCAACAGTGGCTGGTCCAGGGCCTGAACATCTTCCCTGTGCCCACCGTTCAAGCTCAAGAGCACATGACAGACAAACCCAGACAGAGGCACACGGTCGTTTTTAATTCACAGTAAGAAGTAAATTGGAGTAAATGCAGCACAGATGGGAAGTGAGCCAAGCTGTGCTGGACTGAATTCTGCATGCGCTTCTCTGCTCCACCCCATGGAGCCCCTCACCCTCACAGCCGTGGGGGGCTGGGGTTCTGGGGAACACTCATTGCCTGGTCCCCGTCTTGTAAGGAGCTGGAGGGAGAAGCAGGATTTTCTTGGGAGACCTTGGAAACACAGTTCGACAACTCACAATTCGTGGCCCCACACAAGATGGGTACCACTACGATCTACCACGTGATGCTGAAGCAGAGCAATTGCTTGTACGAGCTCCTGCTTCCAAGAGAGTGGGCCGCAGCAATTCAAACCAGTGGGGAACAGGCAAAATGAAACTGAACAACAATATTTTGGGCTTTTTCTCTTGGTAAATTAGGAAACAGAGTTACAGCTATTTAGCTTGAAAACTATTCAATCGGAGTCGTTTCCCTGGGACAATACTATGGTCCTTGCGGGGCCAGGTTGAACTCATGCCAGAAAAAGCCGAGGTGAAGAGCTGTCTCCTGTGAGCCCCATGTCTCTGTGCGGCTGTATGAAAATGAGTGGTCACAGCTGCCGGCCCCAGTGCGCACCACCGCCTTCTCAAGGGAGTTTTGTGCTCGTGGTGTTTGCTGCTACAGTGCCAGATCTCAGGAAACGATTAATTTACTGGTCACTCAGTGCCTCTGCCTTTCAGTAAAATGACTCAGGTATGGAGCAATCCAAAGAGCGTGCCCATGTTATTCTAGTCAAGGCCAGAGAAAAGCTACTTCAGCCTCTGGTTAAAATTCTACTTTTTCCTCTCTAAGCGCATTTACTGGAAAAGTGTCAAAGACAAAGAATATAAAAACGTGCTTACAAATAGCACAGCAGTTCCCAGAAGTGAGTTTCCGTAGCAAGGCTGCACAATTCCTGCCTATCCCTCCGGCCACGGCAGGAGCTGCTTTGGGTATTCCTTTAAGACACCGTCCCTGCTGGAGAACCAAGCAATGAAAGGGGCAGAAAAGGTTTCAGCAAAGCCTCCTTCCTCCCCTTTCCCAACTCAGGTAGTGGCAACTCTGCGAGCTGCCCAGCAAAGAGACAGGTTTTGTAAAAACGGGAGCTACGCCACACTGCCCTGCTCTCTGGGCACCTACCTTGTGCCCCCATCAGTATGGTTCACCATTTTCCCTCATCTTTTAGAGAAGAGCTTGTATCCCGTTGTCCCTGTGGGAACACCAGCAGACCAGCCTGGGTTCAGGTCGAGTGGTGAACAGAGGCCGAAGAGCTTCACCCCCACTTAGACCAAAACTGAAAGGGTTACGCTCAGCCCTTCCTCGAAGCCAGGAAATTGCTCTTTCTTTTGTGTCTGAGGTTATGGTGGGAAATTGGACCGACATGGGCAGTGCAAAGGCAGTGCTTGGACGGGCAGCAGTCCCGCCTGCACTTGGCGCGGCAGTGGTCCTTCATGGACCGCAGTGAGCGCTGCCAAAAAGCTGGAGTAGAAAGGGAAAGCGCCTAGTTATCTCTGCAGCCTGCTGCTGCGAAAGGAAACTGTCCCTTCTATCAATCTGTAACAAGGACTCTTGCTGAAATAGGAGTCCTTGCCACACCTCTGTTGCCTTCCTTGTAATCAAAAGCTCCTTTCTTTCATAATAATCTCCATTTTAATCTAGTACAAAAAAGCATTTTACTCTTACAGATTTCATTAAACTGCCTATTCCAGCTCTGGCAATACTGTGAGCTTGACGAGTCAAAAATGGGCTGAAGTAGATGTTCTGTAGAAGGGATCAATAACCATTTATCAGGAAAAGGCCAGCCCAAGAGAAGCAAGAGGTTTCAATAAGATACAAGAAACTCACCTTGAGGAAAGTACCATCATATCCCTGTTCCAAGAATCAAACACATGTTATTTCAAACTTATACACTGCAAAGTGTTGCAAAACAAAAACCCCCTATTATTCTTTCAGACTAGTTTGAACTTCCTATGATTTAACAAAGATGTAATCATATCTGCAAAGATCCCAGAGTTCCTTATGAGCATCTTAAAAAGTAGGAATGAATCATTTCCTTGTACGACAATCAGCTTTGCAATGCCATGATCTTGGAAGCAACAGCTGAACAAAGGCAAGCACTCAAAAGAAAATAAAAGCATTTAATGCAAAACATTTTACCAAAAGTTTTTACAGCAATTTCATATAAACAGAATCTTCTCTTAAAACATGAAACCACCAATATAAATGTCTTGGTACAAAGCTGATTACAAAACTATCTCCTCAGCCACGTAGAGAGGTAGGGAAGGTTATTTCTGTCATTTGAAAACAGCTAAGATGAACTGAAAAGTAATGTTCAGGATCTAGCCTGCTATGCCTAAGCGATGGTAACACGTTTTTGGATTAAAACATTACAACTTCACAGGCTGATATATTTTTACCCCATAAGATATTTACTGAGCTTCCTAATAATTTGTGGCTATGCAACGGAAATATCCGAGATGCCTGTCAGCTATATTATATGGTTTACCGTAACGATGGGACGACTGATGCTGGGGCAGTGTGGTACTGTGTGTGTTCTGCAAGGAGCAGGCTCTAGGGATGGTTAAAAAAAAAAAAAAGTTTCTATTCCTGCTCATTTGCTGCAGGCTTTAGCTCCTGGGACCCGAAGGCAGGTTTGAACTGGTGCATCCTGGCCCCACTGGCTGCCCAGTGGCTTGGGGAAGGGCAGCCACCGGGAGGAAGAAGTGGTGCAGCTAGCCCGGGCTCCCCATCTAAATTCACTGCTTCCCAGGCTGTCAGAGACTAAAACGGGTCCAGAGAGCTCATTTTGGAGTGAGCAAGGCCCTGGGGAGTCTGACAGCAGCCAGTCCAGCCCGGAGGCAGGCCCGCAGAGAGCAGGAGACAGAACTGGTCCTTGTTGTGAACAAGCAAAAGGCAGCGGGAAGGGAAGGACAGGACAGGCTGGAGCCCTCTCCTCCCCTCCACAAAGCGCTAGAGCGGCATGGGCGCTTACCCAGCACATTCATTCATTCCTTCGTTTGGCAGACGTGGCTCATCCGGGAACGATTACCTGTAAAAGGAGCTCTTTCACCACCGTAGCTGTTCACTGCAGCAGCGTCCTGCACGGCTGGGCTCTGCCTGGTCCGCTGCCAGCCCAGCAGAGAAAGGCTCCAGCTAATCCCCAGCGGAGCAGGGCTGCTCGCTCCCCGCTTAGCAAAACAACAACAAAAAGGCCTTCGAGGAAGATGCAGTGGGGGGAACGCGGCCCTCTAGAAAACAAAGCCACATTAACCAGCCTTAACAAAGCAACAGTTTTCTTCCCCAGTGGAAGGGCAGGCTGGTGCCCTCCCTCCCCAGGACAGGCTGTCTTTCGGGCTCTTTGGGGGCACGTGGGAGGCCGCCTTTTCTCCTCTGCTGTGCTGCTCCAGTGCTAGGCTCCCCGCGCTGCTACCAGGAGCTGAAGTCCCCAAAGCCTGTGCTCTTTTTCTCTTTCTTCGCAGCTGTGCTGGTTGAGGGCCCGTCATCTTCCACACTGCGCTTCCTGGAGCCAAAATGAAAACAACTCTCAGGGACTATTTACTGTTTGGAGGGACCAGGGCAGCTGGGTGCCTTCCCTCTCCCAGCAGCAGCTCCATCCCTTATCAGTCAGAGAGGAGTACGAGCTCTGTGCCAGCACTGGGACCAGAGGGGCTGTGGACGGGGGCCTTTGGCATCCCCAAACACAGGGAGAGCGTGTCAGCCCGTGGGGGTGGTTTGAGTCAGGTTCAGAACACTTCCAGGAAAGTGTTCAAAACCCAACAAGTTCTCCAGGCCAGAGCTGAAGATTTAACAGCTGTACTTTTTTAGCACAGTCACGTTGAAAATGTGAGCCACAAGTTCTCTCCCTGACTTCTCACCTGCATTTGTGGCAGCAAAAGGATTTATGGGGAATTAGGTGTAAAGCAGCTGGGCAAGTTTTTCAGATCCTTTCCTGCTTGGTGAGCACGGCCCGTTGCAGTGGCTGCCGCTATTCTCAGCCTCTCTCGAGCAGAGTTTGCAACTCCATCAAAACACCACGCAGCCAGCTCACGTACCTGCCAAAGGGCCGCTACGGACCAAACTCCCAGTTTGCAGGCAGGCTGCAATGAGTGAAGCACCAGGAAAGAAAAGTCCTTTCTATACTACTCGGCCCTTTCCACAGAGTGGCAAACTCTGCCCGGGTTTCCTCCGTAAATGCAGCGCAGAATGGCAGGAACTTTAAGCTGAACATAATATTTCAAGGGACAAGCAATACTTTGTAACCGAAACTTTTAACTGACACACCAAACTGACCTACACGGGCTAACATATTCTCAGTTATGCAAATGCCTGTAAATCACACAGGCACATACAAGCTGATTAAATAGCTGTCCAGATCTGTGTGTATGGATAAATACACACTTCAGGCGGCAGACAGACAACAGCATTTTTGCAAATGCTTTTAAAGAAGTCTGTGAAAAATCAAGTGGAAGGCATTTATTTTAATTTATCCAAAACACATGCAAAGCTGCCACTCAGGTGGGATTCTGTACTGTCCTTAGGAAAGCAAGCAATGCTGCCAATCCCAACGGGTGTACAAAGGGTGTCTGGGAGAAGACACTTTAGGACAAGCCTGTACAACCAGCCAGGCACCCTGGAGCTACTTGCCAGATGCCCTGTGCTCCCACAGCAAGCCTGGGAACCTGCTCCCCTTTCCGGCCATTTCAGTTGTGCCGGTACAACTGTTTGTGCGGCTGAACAGGGAACCAGATCAGCAGACTGATAGGGGTTTAAGGCAGGGGAGAAGCTGCTAAAAGAGAAACGTCTGTGGGACCATGGCCTTCAGAAATAGCTGCAGAAGAGGAAGAGAATACAAGACGCTGTAGGAAGTGACACAGTACAGTTCCTCAAGGACTTCTGAGTTGTGAAAAATGCATCTACAGTTCTGAAGTCAGCACACGTTGTTAAAGACCAACTTGGTCACGTTCAACTGCTAAAAGAAAAGCTCAGTCAACTCATAATCTTGAAAAACAACAGAAGTAGAGGGAACTCTTGACTGTTAGGGCTGCACAAAGGTGTCTTTCCAAAGCCTGCCGGCACACACCAAACACCTGAGCAATGGCACTGGACAGGGTCAGCGTCCCACAGGAAAGACAACTAAAACACTCAACAAGGATCAGATGGGCAGGGAACTCACGCTGCAGCCATGTTAATGTATTTTCCAATCCCCTGCCGGTAAGTTTTAGGAGTCTCGACCTCTTTCTTTGGTGGGACCACCTCAGCTTTTGTTTTGGCTGCTTCTTCTTCTAGCCGGACCTTCTCTCTTTCTGCAGCAACCTGAGGGAAGCAAAGAGTGCAGTCTGTTGCAAGAGCTAGTCCAGAGTAAGGAGAAAATGTCTACAATTCTTTGAAGCTTTAAAGGACTCTAAATCGGCAATCAGCACCACTATGATTACAGGGCAGGCTTTTGGAGACAGACCTCAAGGGCCCCTACAAACAGGCTGTCTGCAGCCATTATAACACAACTCCTCTCTTCTCACCTGCAGCTGCCCATAGCTACTGTGGGCATTTGGAAAAGAAACCATCGTAAGCATGATGGGCTGGGAGCCGCGCCAGACGCAGTTACAAGACCTCTCTGCTGAAAGAGCGGCGATGACCCTGGCACACAAGGCAATGCTGAATGGCAGCTGTTTAATCTTAGCTCGCAACCATATGGGCTGGGGGCTATCCATGTTCAAAAAAAGGCATTAAGTTACAAAGTTTTCCAAAGAAAAGCTTTGGCCTTTCAAAAAAACCAGCCAACCAGCCATCCTCACCTGGGCATCTGCCTCTTCATACGGATCAACAAAAACAGTTGTTGTCTGAATTCGTATTTCCTCCTGGGAGCAGAAGAGAAGAACAGCAAATCAATCTGATGATTAAGTTGCACCATCTCCCCCAGGCTCGGCTTTCAGAGAAGTGCCAGCGGGGTGAGCCGCAGTGCCACACGAGGCCATAGGCGTTCGCTCCCTCCTGCACAGCCCTGGTGCTTCACAAGTACCTTGGGACGGTCTGTTTTTGGGTCACTTTCCACATTCTCCATAGCAGTCAGAGTCTCAAAGCCACCAACCACCCTAAAAGAGGAAGGACACAATTTTCAGCTGTCGCAACATACTCAGTATCTTCCTGCAGCCTTACATCTAATATATCTAATTTATGCCCGTTACTCCAGCAGATTTTTAAACCATTGTGTTGGGGGAAGGGGAATCAGCAACCGTATTTGGAAGACTTAAAATAATGTCAGTCAGTGTGGAAGGTAAGACTTTTTCTCAAGTCTGGGATTTGAATTTAAAATTAAACAGAACATGGAAAAGTCAAACACGTAGAGGCAAAGCAAAGCCATTTGTCCAAAAAGCTGGTAGCCACACAAACCAGCAAGATGGAGAATGAGTGACTGTGGACAACTGGCTGTGCAAGAAGACACAAACCTATTTAAAAATTGGTTCACTTGCTAATGCTACATCCATAAATTTGGAGCTCATTTGTTACTCCCATGAGCTTTAAAAAAACCCAACAGATTTGCTCAAGAAAGCAAATGTTTTCATTAACTTCTGAATTTTTACAATTGTCCGTAATAACACCAGTAACGCAGAGAGTGCAGGACCGCTCCTCAAGCACATCATGACTGTGAGCTCGTGAGGGTTCTGGGAAAGCAGCAGAGCATCGAGTCACAGCCACAAGATAACGCTGGGACACTTTTCACCACAGTTTCTATTTAGGAGGATGTTAGATCCCTGGCCTCTCATTCTTCAGGGCAACATACCCAAATACTTTCTTCAAAACATTAGAAAGGCCGACGACTTTCTGGACTGCTGTATGTTCATTTTCAAAAAAAGTGTGGAACAATGGGAAAGTTCCAGAAAAGGATATTTAGAAAGGATAAATGGGGTGACCCAGATAATTACAAGCCTGTCATCCTGGCATCTATCCCAGCAAAATAATGGAATAGCGGAGACAGGACATGATTAAGAAAGAAAGGAAATAAGTAACGGCAATCAACAAGGTTTTGTGGAAAACAGGGTCTGTCAAACAACCTTCTATCTTTGAGACAACAGATGTGGTTAACAGGGATAACAGTGTCCGTGGAACACGCTTCTGGAAGGCGGCTGATATTTTGATTGAGAAACCAGAACAATATGAAGTGAACACAGCACACGTTAAATAAAAAATTGGCTGACAGGTGTCAAAATCTAATTTTAAATAGAAACCACTGAGTCAGTATGTTTCCAGAGGCGTCCTGCTGCGATCAGATCTTGGTCCCAGGGTATTTAACACTTTTATCCACATCATCATCCCCAATTAAATTTGAAAACAGCTATACTTAGATGAGCAGTAAATAAAGATGAAGACAGGCCGTTGATGCTGAGCAATCCAGATCCCTTAGAAAAGCAGACTGTAGCTGGACAACATCTGTTTTAATAGAGCCAAGCCACATGGCCAGGAACCAAAAATACAGCCCATATTAATGGCTGTGGGACAATGCGAAGCAGCCGTAATTCTCAAAAGCACTGCTCCTGGAGCCAGAGGAGTCTGGGGCCGGGAGCTCGGCAGCGGGGCAGGACCTGGCCATCAAGGAGCCCAGGGCTGCAAACCTGCAAGCCAGCAATCCTCCATCCATCGTGGGGTGGCAACTGCTTTGAAACCTGATTGCTGGGATTACTGGGACTCCGGTACTCGCACAGGTCGGCTGTCAAGGGCTGGGCAGATGAAATGGAAGAAAATCAAATTAAATGAAACCGGTGGTGGTGGGGAAATAAAAATCAAACGGTGGAGTATGCGGAGTGTTTTATCACCTAACTCTTCTTTCATATCAGAGAAATGAGCCATACTTCAACCAAAAGACACACCATATTCACAGGTATTTGACACAGTTCTACTACGGTATCTCACTCTTGCAGGTGTTTTGCAGCAGGCAGTCCTCTCCAGGCCGGGCATGGCAGTCTGCCTGGCCAGCTCCAGGAGAGGACCCTGGCCATCACCGCAATGGTCTCAGCTGATCTAACAGAGAAACACACCTTCTGCTACCCCTCCACACCATGCTATTTACCCACCTGACACACTCCTCCAAGAGACAGGTTAACTAAAGGAATCAGGCTGACCACTGTGGTTTGAGAGGCAAGCGGGTCCCCCTCCTTCAACCCCCCCGTGCTCAGTGCAGCACCACTGCCCTCTGTACCGCCCCATGGGCTGGGACGGGCACTGAATGCCACCTGAAAGACAAACTCCATCACAGAAAATAAAACTACGCAAGTGAGAGACAAGATGCTGCTCAGCACCTGCCTTGAGCAGAGCCATCCTTGCTGACGTTGCATTGCTGCTGCACCACTCCAATCTTCTCCCCATTACTCCCCAAGGGCCTGTTGATATTCTGTAATGAGGTTGTGACTTTTAAGAGCAATTAAAAAACATGTATGCATGCTAGAACAGTCTCATTCATTTGCAACTGGAGATAGCGTACAGGGGGAAGTGGCACTGGGCTTGAAGACCCCACATGAACTTTGGAAAGTTCATAACAAAAACTCAATTTTAAAATCCTCCTCCAGGCCAATATCAGATTCACTTATAATACTGATGATTAACACACAGCCTAAGATATATTCACTGTATTTTAATTACCCCTAAAGGAAACTTCTGATTTAATATTGGAGGATTTTCTAGCCAACAGCTCCATTCATTATCTGCTCGTATGTTTTCATTTAATTAGGTTCTGATAATTTGAAATAGCCAGATCAGCTATGCACTGGCAATCTCAACTGAGTAATCCCTTAGCCCATAGCTAGACCTCCCACAACATTAGCCCCAATGCATTTTGGCGACGCTCACGAATCTTCAGTCGCTATGCTAATTAAACTTTATTGGGAATACTTTGTCACTTGCACATTTTAAAAGGCTGTGATAGACATGGCATTCACAAGTCATCAGTAAATGACCTAAATAGTCTATTTTGACATGATTATAAAGGGCTAAGGGGGAAGAAGACAAAGTTGTTATGCCTGCAGAGCATGGCATTCTCTTTTCTTCTTAGCTTGTCTCTAAAATGGAAAATTGCTTTCCTTTTCACCCCTGCACTCTCTAACATTTTGCACAGAGAGTATCTCTATGCATATTACACTGCCAGCACAGTGAGCTCTCAATATAGGTTTATGTTTTTAGACATTGCCATAATACCAATAAAAAATAAAAATGAATTTGAATGCAAACCACCAGCTCACAGAAGAGATCTCTGACCAGAGGAACTGGAAATAATTTACTAGTAATTTTTGTTCAGGGAGCACTTGGAAGCTTTGTCAAGGATGAGGCCCAGCTGAGGCTGGCGTTTTATCAGTAAAAATCAAAATCCAAATTGGACAAGATCTGATTGCAAACGACACCCATCCAGTGAAATACGAACTACACACTAATCAGGGCAGTCATGGCTGGATGCAAAAAAATGGAATATTCCAACTTAAGGTCTAAAACCATACAGGATTTTGCAAACTTTCCTCTGATTTGTCTACATAGAAAGACAACATAAGTGCAGGCTCTCGAAACATTACATGTTGTTATTGTGAGATTGCACGATGGTACATTGCAGCACTAAAATCAGTTTCATGAGCTATAACATGTCCAAGCCCATGCACTGGCATCTGTTACAGCAATTGCTCCTCACAGAATGAGGAAATCCGCACACCAGAGTAGTTCTGGGGGTTCTCTGCCTGTCCCCCAACACACATTCTGGGTGTAAGAAGAAAAGCTCACAGACACATTGCCAAGAAAAAAGCCCATACAAGTTACATGTAGAAAAGACCATCAGATCAGTACATTAAAGCATTAAAAAAAACCAACTCTAAAGAGAGCTCCACTACTTAATATTATTCTAATATCCACTAACGCAAGAGCTGGTTACCCGGGACAGAGACAGAGCTGAGGTACTCAACGACTTTTTTGCCTAGTCTTCACTGGCAAGGACTGCAGCCACACTGCCCATGACACAGAATGTAAAGGCGAGGATTGGGAAAATGAAGAACTGCCCACTGTAGGTGAAGATCAAGTACAAGATCACCTGAGGAACCTGAAGGTACACAAGTCAAAAACATCCAGCTCTGGAATCCTCAACATAAGAAGGACATGGACCTGCTGGAGCATGTCCAGAGGAGGGCCACGAGGATGATCCGAGGGCTGGAGCACCTCTGCTATGAGGAGAGGCTGAAAGAGTTGGGGTTGTTCAGCCTGGAGAAGAGAAGGCTCTGGGGAGATCTTATTGCAGCCTTCCAGCACCTAAAGGCGCTACAGGAGAGCTGGGGAAGGACTTTTTAGTAGGGCATGTACCTATAGGACGAGGTGGAATGGCTTTAAACTGGAAGAGGGCAGGTTTAGATTAAACATTAGGAAGAAATTTTTCACTTTGAGGGAGGTGAGGCACTGGAACATGTTGCCCAGAGAAGTTGTTGAGGCCCCATCTCTGGAGGTGTGCAAGGCCAGGCTGGACATGGCCTTGGGCAACCTGGTTTAGTGGGAGGTGTCCCAGCCATAGGCAGGGGGGCTGGAACTCGATGATCTTCAAGGTCCTTTCCAACCTAAACCATTCTATGATTCTATGATAAAACCTGTTCTACGAATAAATCTGAGTCAGCATAAAGAACTCTGTACAGCATTTTCACTGAAACAAAATGCAAATGCCAGAAGTTCTGACAAATATGCCTTTATGCCCCTCGCACATGGTACGTGCGTTACACACGGCGACAGGCCACACCACGTTAGCCTTTCTCACTCGGCATCACTCGTGCTAAGTTGGGAGCACGGCAGGGAAGGGAAGGGAGAGGGGCAGAAGCAAGTTTAAGCTTTTCCACTGTTTCTGGCTCTATTCCTTTTATGAGGTGCCCCGCATGCTTTGTCCTAAATTGACCAAGTGAGGTTTAAACAGATGTTCAGATGACACCCTACAGTGAAAAGGGTGATACCTTCAAGACACCATTTACGTTAGAAGAACCAGTGAAACCGAGGGTTTGCTGTGTGCTTCCAAGTAGATGTTGAACAGAGAAACGATGATCTCAACTACAGATTTAGCTCCGCATCCCTGAGACAGCTTGTTGTA